ACCTTTCCAAGGTCGCAAAAACAATTTTTTCATAAGACAAGTTTGATGTAAAATTTTCCGCTCTTTCGAAATCCGCAGTCAAAAATAGGGTGTCCCATTAGAAAAAACCATCGTGACCTTGAAGTAACCTTCAAAATTGACCTCAAGGTCAAAACCAATGGTACAATTGAATGACCCCCTCTGTCCTGGTCAACTTTTATCTAAACCATTTTTTTGTAGATACCGTAATTTGGAAGATATTCGGATCCATATACTAAAATGACTCACCCTGTATATTCCAATCAAACTATAATAACCTCGAACTGTTTGAATTATTATAATTATTTTTATTATACAATCAACGGCAATCTTTTTATTTTCAAATAGTACGTATAACAACGAATTAAACGATCTTTTAATTTTTGAATAACGCTGCTAAGTTACTCCCTGCATTAAATATTCGTGGAAGAATAAAAGTCTATTACAAATGGGTTATTAAATTTTATTGATGACATTCGCTGCGAAGATGCTAACAGTAAATTATGACCCAAATCTTACGTGACGTTACTGAATAAATATACATATCGTCGAGTATAGTATAGTCTCGTTTACGTGTATATAAAAACATAATATTTACAGAGACACGGATAGAGTTCGAGAACTGATGCCTTAACATTGAAACTTCCGCGACAATAAAAACCGGCAATCATTACATAACGATAATCGTTTATTATTTATTATTATTATTATTATTATTATTATTATTATTATTAGTAAGCGCGATTTATAATTGTGACGCGCACGAATTATATCACGCCACAATTTTCAATTGTGTCTCTCGGTTTCCGGTGTCACCCTCCCTTTTTATCACTTGCTCCGGTTCATCTCCTTCCCACGTCGATCACTATCGCGTTTGTCCCGCGCCACGTTTTCTTTCCCACCCAGCTCACTAATAACATCTATCTTTCAAAAAATATAAATATCAAGCACGTAAGCGACCACCATCGAGATCTCTCTTACTCTCGTAATTTTATAATCAATCCCATCTCCACAAGCCATAATTCTCGCTGGCTCTTAAAATTAGTGACTATATATATTTTAAACCGCGCAATCATATCTATCTCGCGCTCTTTCTCTCCCTCTCTTCTTTTCTTTTCTTAAACGTTGTCAGCGTGGACTTACCGCAACTTGCATTCCGCTTCGAGAATCGTATTCCCTTTTTTTTATTCCCTCCCCCTCAGTATGGCGCGTATCTCACGTTCGATATTGTCAAGACTGTCGGACCGTTTCTCGAGTCTACTACTTCGCGAATAGATTATCTATCTTGGATAGATTTACAATAGATGGGAATGCAGAGCAGTGAGCCCCTTTTTCTCTCTTTCATCTTCTCTTTCTCTCAACATGCAGACATTCTTCTCCTCTGAATTATTACACAACAATCGACGGAGTTTAAATCTCTCAAGTTCCTCGATTACACGTGACGTTAAACAGCAAAACATATTAACGGGACACGATAAAGCGAAGCCGACCGACATCCCGAGCGAGTCAAAGACACACATACACACGCACACACACAGGCGCGCGCGCGCGCTTTCGCGATTAATTGCCGAAGAAAATATTGGAATTCGATATGTCGTATCGTAATAATTGTGTCGTTAATAATCGTTCCTGTGCACGCTTGCTTTAAGTCCGTCCGCGCCGAATCGAAGACTTGTACAAAAATGATCGGAGGAAACGACCCCAGGGACGTGTCGCGATTGGCGACAATGGTAACGACTTATCGTTGTCGCCAAAGATAGGAAACTCTCAAAAGACCGACAAAAAATAATCGTATAAAGAATGCTAACCGCTGACATCGTCGTATAAAACGTCTACTTCAAGTTTATCTATCTCCCAGCCCCTTATCCCTTCGTGTTTCCGCGGTGATGTCGCGATGAAGAGGTACCGCGTTTTGTAGTTTTGCTTCAACGAGAGACAGGAAGCCGATGCCAGTGCCGCGCGCGAGAAGCTGACGCAAGATTTATGGCACAAGAAATATTAAGCGGTCTTCTCCCAGTAAATTACACCCACACTATACATGCATGCATGCATACATTCACACACACACGCACACACACACACGCACGCACGCATACACACAGATCGTTGCCCGTTTCGTTTGCACCGGCGAGTTTCGTGGAGAGAAATCGGGGCAACGTGTCGTATTCCGGATTTCGCTTCGCGACTTCTGAGGAAAGCGGAATATGGTTTTCGAAATGAAAAAAATCGATAACAATTCGTCGTAGTTGAGCTTTATTCGAAGAAACATAGCTCCAGGAAGTATTCCATCGGTAAAACTCGTAACGTCTTTTAACGCTGTCCATCTTCCACCTTCCTCTTACAAGACGATTCAAGAGAGCACGATTTTAGAAGAGCGCTCGGGAAGCATGTCGGGCTCGTGAACGTTCCTCATGTTTCTCGCTTCTCCCCTTCCCGACGGACTTCTTGTTTCTTTTCCGCGAGGCAACGATACTTACACGCGAACATCCACTTTCTCTGTACAGGATCATAACTACTTAATCTGCTGACAAAAAACCTCGTTCTCGACACCCGCGTATTTTTTGTTCTTTCTTTTGGCGCAAATTAATGTACGCGTGTCTTCCGACATTCGACCGTTTAAAAATCAAGACGAGAACGTTACAGAGTTGAACGAGCGGCGCTCGCGTGCCTTGCGAGAAGACAGATTGATCATAAGGCTGTTTTTTAACGTTTCGCTATGTCGCAACAAACATACTTATTTACAAAATGAGCTCTTATTCGCGTCGCCACCTCGTCGCGCGAAGGTTCTTTTTTTCTTCCGCTCTCGCGAAGAGGAAACGCGGCGTGCTCTGACATGAGAAATCATTAATTCGACCCCGTCCACTCATTCGTTCGAGCCGCGACGAATGCGAATGTATTTTACCGATGTGTATCTCAATCAGTAAGATGTAACAAGTGAGTATAAAAAAAACAATGTCCTCCAGTAAAAAAAAAGGATATAAAAAAAAGGAATAACTTCCTCTTTCTTCGATGCGCACACAAGGTGTGAGAAGAAGCGACGCGCTAGACGATAAATAAAAACGGACTTGGAGGCTAGCGATTTGCGCGCGGGACACATCTAAACAAAATTAATGATCCCTCACCACTCACGTGTTACGTTATACTCTTGTTATACTCTTTAAAAAGTTTCAATCTTTCTAGAATAATCGTTAATAATTTAGATATCTAGCCTACTAAGGATGGAAAAAGATCTATGCGGATCGCATTATACATATACATGTACGTACACACATGCACGCGCACATACATACACACACACATTCTTCTCTCTTCCTCTCTCGCTCGCAAAAATGAACTTAAGAAAAATCAACTTACGCGTGTATCTCAGTCGCAACGGCCACGTTCGCAACACAACATTTTACACGATTACAAGGCGGTTACATGTCGAGAGTTAGTCCGCAAAAATGGGGAAAGGGCGTATTGGGGATATTAACGACAAACCATTCCTACGGTTACAGATACCGGCAATCTTTATGACACATGATAGATGCTGACGACCAACACGCAAAAAGAGAAAAAAAGAAATGGAAAAACGTAAGAAAAAGAAACGAAATATCCTCTCTCCCTGGTAACAACGCCTGTCTCCTTGCCCCATCCCCCGCTTTCATCATAACCCTTGGAGACCGGTGCGCGATCGTTACAAGAAGAATGTGGATCGCGCGCCGATGCGCCAGTATGCATCACTTCTTTACATACAGGGGTCAGCACCGATCAATTGTCCTTATAAAATTGACTAAGAACGCAACGTTCGCATTAATTTAATATGGGCCTGTATTAAAATAGTAACTATATGAACAACAGAGGGCACGGTAGCGGTAATGTTAAGTGTATGAACCACTTGTTGTAAAACTATATGACGAGCGGTATGTCCTTCTTGTTCGGTAGATTCACCTTCTTCCCTTGCCAGAGGCTGTTGTGTATCGTAAAGGCATCTATGGTCACAGTCAGATGCTTCGTGTGCACTTGCGAAAAGCATTTTCCGCTGGAATTGTATCTGAAATAAGGACCAGACAACCAATTAGTGACGAGACGCAGCAGGCAATGTGCATTTTCTTTTTTTTTTTTTAAACATCCGTAAATACGAAATTCAAATGAAAGAGACACTTCCCCGAGAGTGCGCTTACTTGAAAAATTTGTCGAACATATTATCGGCGACTTGCTTGGGCCCAGTACCGTACAGCTTGGCTACTTCCTCCCTCTCGGGACAGTAGGAATAGAGAGCGCGGAATTGGCAGCCGGCGTCCCGAAACAAGATGAGAAAGTGCTTGCTCTCGGACCTTCCAATCTCCTCCAGAACCCTCGACTTGGCCTCTTTGTTCACCGTGCCGGGGAAGACGCAATACTCCACGGCATTCAGCATAATATTGCGATTCGACTTCGCTATCGGCAGTTTATACAGTCGCGGGCCTGCGAAACAAATGTTCAATTAGTCCAAACTTTCCCCTTCGCTTCAGGTCTATCCTTGTTTTCAAGATCAAGACTGAATAGATTTTCTGGAATCTTCTCTGGAAACTACACGTTTACTTAACACGTTGACTGCCAATGAAACTCACCAATGACTAATGTTATAATATTGTCTTATTAATTTATACAATATAACCGATATTTCGCACATATAACAGATCAAATAGCCAACGGAGCGCTGATGAAACAAGCTAACAAACATACGCAAGGCTACTTGCCGTTTCTTTAGTTCAAGTTTTAGTCGAGCATTGAAAAGATCAATGGAAATCAACGTGGCAATCACTCACCATTGTAATCCATCATCGAACTGGGCGTGCTGCTGATGTCGCTGCTACCGTCGTCGTAGACCCTCTTCTTCGACGTCATCAAGGCGGGTGGTAGTGAGCCAGGACCCGAGGGTGACGTCAGGTGCCTCATGCTGCCTATGCCCGGACTGGCGGCTCGTCTCGGCGGCGTTGATCTGCCCAGACCGCTGTCCGAATCTGTATGTCGACACACCATACAGTCTTGATCACTACTCGCACCTGCGAACGCAGCTTCGTATATGAAGATAAGAATCGACCGGAAACGCGACAAACATACGCGTCCGACTTCCACACGAAAACGACCACAAGATCCCGCGTTCATTTCCTCCTATACCTGTTTTCTTTCTTTTTTCCCTCTCTTCCTTTTGCCACCCAAGCACAAAATGTATCGGAATACGAAGACCTTCCAGTCTTATCGTTAATAGTTAGCCACCACGAGAGAATAAGAGGGATTAGTCACGTGTTACAGGTGTTACGAGAGAAACCGCGAACGTCCGTTTTTGTGATTCGCGTCTCTTCGCGTGAGAAGACCGCTCTTGAACAATTATTAAATAATTATACATGTTTCATAGATAAATGGGAATGAAGAAGTTTACATCTATCAGCTTGTCAAGCTGCTGACTGCGCTACGATGATTCTAACACGTACAGCAACAGTTTCTAACTAGATTCTGATTGGTGAAACTTTTAATTAACGCTAATGCGACGATTCGCTATTTCTGCTGATCGTTCGACACGCGAGTTCAACACGCGACTTCAACACGTGAACTAAATGGACGTTACGACGACAATGAGACACTTGATCGTTACTGACGTCGGAGGAACAACGGGCATATAGCAAGTTCATCCACATCGAAACACCGCACAAAAGACAGAGACAAGACGGAGTCCCGAGTGCACAGACAAGTGACGACTTTGCGTGTTCTTTTTTCACAATGAATTTGCTATACTCGCCGTTCCACGATACCTGCAAAAAGAAACAGTGAGCGAAGGACAGAGCGGGATCATACAGGTGTCCAAGGCGAGAGTAATAGAAATAGAGAGAGGACGGGACGAGTCGGCAATGGACGACAAGGAACACCTAGATTACGATCCATAAACGGGCGGGTTAAACTTGAAAAATACCACACAGCCACTGAGAGCAGAATAAATCTGAAAGAAACAGCGATCGACGATAACACCTCGGTACCCACAACCAGTGCTATACAATAAGCCCAAAACAAGCCTCAACCGAGCCTTCTCTACGAGCAGCAGCGCAAAATGAGTGGTCCTAAGGGAGAATGACAGAATAATACAAAGTTCCGCCTCGACGGCAGCCAGTCGGGGTTGGAAGAACGGAAGAAGCCATCGTTCGCAAATCATAAGTACGCACGTGACCGATACATTGCTCGCGCCCGAAGAAATGTAAAAGCTCGAAACATGAAAATAAAATTGTCCTCCGTGATGGAGAGACAGAGAAAGAGAGCGAGAAGCCACGTCGGTGGAACTTTGCTAATGTACACAAAAAAAGAAAAATGCGTGTGATTAACGTGCGTATGAGTTTCTCGTAGGATATATACATAAACATATATATATATATGTAAGTACCGCTGCCACCTGTGTGCATTCTCCAGCCTGCCACCATGCCACTACGTATGTGTGTGCGTGTGAGTGCGCGTGTATATGTGCTATATTGCCTACGAAAATCGGGACGGTGATAATATACGTAGAAATGTACGATATTTATATATCATATATGTACACGGGACACATGTATATATATATCGAGACTGTTGCACGAGATAGAAGGGGAGAGGATCGAACGTAATTTCCAAGTCACTGTGGTGCTTCTTACCGCACAAATTCATCAGGGAATTAGACTTTCTCCCCTTAAAGTTTTGGTAAGTCTGGTATTTAGGCCTGCCTCTAACCTGTTGCTGAGACTCCTGCGCATCTGCAATAACGCAACGTATGCCTCGTTACACTCAAAACGCCATGTACGAAAGGTGATTAAGTAAAGTTATGAAGAGAGATGCTTCAATCGTACGCATCATCTTAGGAGAGGCAGAGGAGGATGAATATGAAGGCTGGGAAGGCTTAGAGGGGAAGAAAAGAAGGGGGAAGCCGGAACACCGAAGGGGGACCTCTAACTACGAGCCATGTCCGGGGGGTACATCGAGAACTGAAGTGGCCGGTGCAGTTTTTGGTGCAGAACAACGTTGCGTTCCAAATCGAAAGACGTCCACTACGAGGCGCTACTTAAATTTAAAATCAGGAAAAAAAATACGTAAAAAAAGAGAAGAAACCAAAAGGAAAACACAGTCATACCCGCAAAGTGTCATGACCTCGCTCAGTCGCTCGTAGAGGGATAATTCAAAGGCTAATCAAATGTTTCAAACAACATCGTAATACTCTGATAGAGATTAGCTCTGCCCATACCAGTGTGATACATCCTGCAACGAGTCTACTTTCGTCAAGCCAAACGTTGAAAAAATGAACAATCGTTCAATACAGCGTAATGCGGCATGCCGCGTCTAATTGTACGCAACATCGAACACCCACCTCTCGAGGTCTTGTAGGAGCCACGTCGACCGAGCTGGTTCACGCTGCGACACGGCGAGGAGCCCCTACCGTCGTCGGGAGAATCTACGGAAGATACTAAAATACGGTGCCTCAATTACAATCGGTTACAATTCACTTCAGACATTTTTATACTCTACGTATAAATATATATATAGAGAGAAAGAGAGATCGAGTAAAATGTAGCAGCTAACATCGGTACATCGAGAAACAAGATACACGGCATGCCAAATTGAGAAACGTAAAGAAGTGCAGTGAACTTTTCGTATATGAAATCAATTGCGAAGTAGAGAAAGAAACACATTATAAATATAGGCATCTAATGTTTCATTAAACATACAATCTTCGAGGTAAAATCTGCAAAAGGATTCTTTTTCCTTCAAATTGGAAAAATCTCGAAATTTAGTCTACTCATTTAATAGATGTTAATTTTTCCCAACAATAAAATGGATATTATACAATCACAACACTTATTTCCGTATCTATATGTTCGCGACGTAAGTATCGTGACATTACCATTCCTTCGTTTGTCTCATATAAAGACCTAAATTTGATCTAAATTCAACACGCGAATAAAATTTTTGGAAAAAAAGAAGAAAGAAAGAAAAACTACAACAGGTGTGTATCGAATATAAATGCAGTGAGAGAGTGTGTGTGGTGCGTACCCCTGAGACTGCCGCCCCGATAAAGAGGGCCGGAACGCCGGTCATCGAGATGGGCAGCAGTGAGACTATCCTGCGAGCCTCGGTAGTAGTCTCGCCTCATCGTCGGAGAGGTCAGCGACGCTACAGTAAGTGTGTTAGTGCAAAACAATCGGCTCGGTATTTTCTGTGCTATTCTAGTTTGGCGTCTTTCCTCGGCGCGATTGCGAGCCCGATTATCGCAAGAAGATAATCTTTTATACGACAACGCTGTGCTTGACGCGACAATAAACTAGCATAGACGAGAAAATCTAGAGCTCGTGAACATGTGGTTGGGTAAGGATTCATCAACGAAAAGTAAAACCAATTAAAACAAAATAATAAAAAAAAAAGTAATAAAAATAATTAATACACAGAGAAAATGGTGTCACTGAGAGAGTCATTACGAAAGAGAGATAGAGACAGATAGAGCGAGGGGAGACGGCTGATCATAAAAATTTTCGTCATGCAAAGAATAAATGCAAAATCACAAGTACAACATCGAGGAAATTGTTGCTATTAGATTATTACAATGAGGAAATGCACTTGTGACACAACAATTGAGATCTATGTTTTTGGGGATTAGTCTCAAAGATTAAAAAAATCTACGAACGAAAGCGATATCTTACTCTATTCTATTCTGCCAATATCTTTCTCTATTCTATTCTATTCCGGTAGAATTACATCGATCTTGCGAACACTGGAGTCTTTACGAATCTTATCTACGTGTCTAGTCCCCAAGAAGCATTGATCGTCGCAACAGGTTATTCAATTGCTGCGAGTATAATTTATTACAACGAACTAACCTGTACTTAAGTTGGAAGAAGAACCCTTCTTTCCACGACTAGGTGTGAGAGCCCCGGAATCCAATACCGCGCCAGCGTCGCCGTGAATTGTTTTGGGCCGTGGTCGAGCAGTTGCAGTCTTGTTACGTAATTTTGCTGGATTTATTGCATTCAGGAGCTCCTTATCAATTACCTTACCCTGAAAACAGAATTACAATATTAATTCGAGTAAAAGCATTTCAAATACACAAAATAAATTTGTCTGTTCTGACGAGATTCACTAAAGAATATATTTTATTTATTTCCGTGTGTAGATTTCTCCCTTCTTTCAAAATGTGCTTACTTCTCTTTCCGCTTCTTCTATCGCCTTCTTCACCTTATGATGCTCCAAGATAGCGGCTCTTCTCTGTCGTTCCTCCTCTTTTTTGCGGGCTCTCTCCTCTGCTTTTAGCTTTTCCTGTTCCCTGCGCGTTTGGGCCTCGGCTTCCTTTCTTTCCTTCATTTCCTCCTGTCTCTGTCTTCTCTGCAGCGACAGCAGCATTATTCTCTCCTTCTTCTTCTCCATCTCATCCATAGAATTCTACATAACAAAGATTATCATAGAAAATTTTCGAAGAGAAAAGTTTTAAAAGAAAAACTCGTCATAGAACAGTTTAAAGAATTTGTTACAAAAATTTTATTTATAACAGCTTATGAGAAGAGTTTATACTATAACTGCATAAAGAATCAATATTATTACAACGCATACCGGATCAGGATTTGTAAGCTGGTTGCCGATCACTAAACCAACGCCAGAAGTGTGTCGGCCTTCCGCACTGCCGTCACGCTGTTTCTCTCTCTGTCGTTCTCTCTCCATCTCCCTCTTTAGCTCTCTATCCCTCATTTCTTGCCTTTGATGTTCTCTTTCTTCGGCTAGCCGCAATCGTTCCCGTTCTAACTCCCGCTGAGCTTCAAACTGTTTCTGCCTTTCAATTGCGCTAGCGGGAGGCGATTCGGGGCGCACCGTGAAGTCTTCATGTTCGATATACGACGATACGCTCCGCTCCTGAAAGAGCAACAGTTTGGCGTCAAAATCACAGCATAGTATACAGCGTGACACATTTATGTCACGTTTTTTTTTATAATAAAAATATCTGTGTAGATGCTTCTACGTCGCTCACTTTCTTGGGAGACGATCTCTTCACTCTAAGAGTCGGTTTCGGCTTCTTAGGAGTGTCATTGTCGAAGGATATGTAGAACCCTTTCTCGCCTGCGTCCGTGGGGTCGAGAGGTGTAACGTCTGGAGTTGCCGAACGCGAGGAAGCTGTCTCTCTCAATGACGGATGAGGTTGGAAGGAATTCTGCGATATTGTGGGTCTCGTCGGAGATGGTATTCTATATGTACGACTACCTGACGTGATGTTCAAACCACGAATGCCTTGCGCGATATCGTCGTCATTGCCTTCAAAATTTCAAAAGAATTTGTGAGAAAAATGAGAACACCTCCTCTTAGACTGATACATGCAGAGTGAGGAGAAAAGAGATTTCTTATGCGAGATCTAATTTCTTCGAGCGTGCTGATTTCCTCCTTTTACATAATATTATAAAAAAAAAATTAAATCGCAAAAATATCTCGCGACTTAATGTATAATTACCGATAAAGGATATATTCTGAGGCTTCATGTCATCGGCGGGCGGAGCTGGTACCGGAGTATGCAAGGCGGTTACTTGCCTCTTTTCCGTCGGACTTTCACATGAAATCGGGATGTGATGTATAGTTGATCTCTTGGGTTCGGGACTTTCACTAATTAACTGACTAATTCGATGAACCTGAAACGACGAAATTAATTCGTTACAAAATGTAGCGTGAGACACCCGTTAATAGAGAGTATCCACTCTCTATTAACCAATATTCTAGCAAGCGAGAAGAAATCGTATGGAAATAACAAAAACACCGTCACAACATTGCGACACTATTCTCCCGTTAGATCTCAATTCTTTCTTCGCGTATGTATCCATTAAGAGGGAGACCGCACTTCAATCGCGAACGCGCATTAAAGTTAAAACAGTCAAGGCAAACCTCATTGAAGCAAACACGCGACGTGACGACGCCTAACGACGACGACGACGATGACGACGAGGACGACGAGCTAAAGAAGTACATGTTATTCAATTTTACAAATCACTCGGGGAAGGTTCGAAGTAAAATCAGAGTCGCGGAGCGTGAATGCCTACTCTGCCCGGTGTGGGCAGCGTCTGCCATGTTAGGTGTCAAGAACGTGCGTCTATAAACGTGCATTACATCACCAACTGGTTCCCGCGCACAGTACATACACGTACGCCAGGCGCACAAGCCGATCCTTCGTATTGAAGTGACCAAATTGAATTGATGACCAGCGTATACGTCGCGAGCGTTCAGCTATATACTGTCTCACTCACACGCATACACGCCAACCGGCGTCGCACCGGTGCTCACTGGGTGCAGCATTCGATGTGTCGGCCCGTCTTTCTATCTTTCGTAATGAAGCGATGCCGTCACGTGCGCGCGTATTGTATGCAGAGAAGCTATTTGTATAAATATAAATAGAAGCATGACGAGAACGCGACTGCGACGGACAATGTTATAAAATCAATTTTTGTGCGCCGCCAAAATCGCGAACTGCACCCAACTTACATACGTGTGATGGAAAAAAGAGAGGAGAGAGTTGGACACGAGGATTACGAGTTCGGGGGCACTTACGGCGTTACGATGCTGTGGACTAGCAGATGAGGCTTGTGTTTGGTTAAAAAGCGACGAAGACCCTGGATACGTGGACCCGGGGTGGCTCATTTGATTATTACACAGACTATGATCGCCGCCGTTGAGGTACCTCGGTTCCTGAGTGTCGTGCAGTACAAACCCTTTTTGCGTAGGGTGCGGTGCCGCCCAAGTTCTCGTGGGATCCCCATACATGCGCATATCCTGCTGATAAGCTGAGGAAAGAGATTCAAGTGTCGTTATTATGCCGCACTAATTTCTGTCGAAATTTATGTCTATCTGAAAATCCATTTCTATCGAAATTAATTTCTATCAAACGCGAGTTATTCAATCAACAAATTAATCCTCTGCAACGCTTATTATTCTGAATAATAACTCAGTGAATAATAACTCAGTGGTGACTCACCGGTAGGTTGAGAGCTAAATCGAGAATCCATGGACTGCTGATAACCGACCGCGGCTATCTCATTGGCTAAGCTCTGAGCGGGTGGCGGTTGACCCCACATTCTCCTCTGTATTTGCGGCTGATCGTGCAAATAGAACTGCGACTGCTGGGGATCCTGCAGTCTGGGCGTCAGTGGATTCATTGGCGGCATTCCGTAACTCTGCAAAGACGAAAGTCAGAGAGCTAGCCAATACTGTGATTGACTTTGCGGAAAATATATTTGCGAAACAAGATGCGTACCTGCATGTGCTGCTGGCTGAGACTCTGCAGTTGTTGGAGCTGCTGTTGCATCTGCTTCTGATGCTGCGACATCAGATGCTGCTGCTGAATCTGATTCTGCTGATTCGTCAAACGCTGTATGTCCGCTTGAATCTCGCTCAGGCTGTTATTCATTCTGCAACGAACGATACTTTATGAGCGCACGCGTGACAAAACTTGTTGACGTAACATGAAATATGCGAGAGCAAAATGTATCATGGCGCATGTGTGGGCATATTTTTCTCTTGTCATTTTTATAAGCACGAAAACGGATACTAACTGCGTTATAGATTGACGATACTGTTCGGGATCCATGTTCTCGATGTCTGGAGTGCGTCTGGTTTCGATGAATGGTGCATTACCGTCGTGTTCCAACCACTTGTGCTCGACGTCCCGCACATCCTCGCTAATTTCCTATAGTCGTTATCAGAGAAACGGAATACCTCAGAAAGAGATTACGGTGCTATAAATGTACGTAAGATATACTCGTGTGTAATAATAGAAACGAACGACTGGATTGTTCTTTACGTTTAGAATCTTTTTTCTTCTACAAGCAGAACTCAGTCACTGATCTGCACTCGCATTTTGTGTGTACGTGATAAAACGGACATTTCGTTAATTTATGACGCGAATACATTTACCGGAGGTAAGTACGAATAAAACATCGCGCGAGGTCGATTCAATCCGTAGTATATCTGGATCTGAAATAATTGACGAGCCACAGGCAACAATGGATTACGCTTGATCCAGTTATGGCCGGAAACTTGGTGACACGATCTATAGACGCGACATTTATCCGTCTGTTTGATCAATAACTTATGTAACTGGGAACAATGTCAAGGTCTGCTTCTCGAATTTCTCCAAGTTCCCGCCAAGTGTAAGTTCGAGTCGCGGCGCGCACTAATTACGTGTCGAATTTAAGTGACTCGCTGTTGAAGTAGTACAGCAAACTTCTAACGCAATTTAGAGAGGCGAAATTAAATTCCACAAGCTAATCTGCACGTTCATTAAGACAATATAAATGTACATGTGTATACATATATATGTACATATTAAAAAGTGTATAGTCTTTCTTGTGTTAGTAAATGAAAAAATTATAGTGTAGAAATATTGAGTTTTCAAGTAAGTTCAAGTAAGTTCAAGTAAGTTCAAAACCAATTACCCAATATCAGTATGTACACATGGCTACTCTTTTCCAGGGAGTGTTTAGTATCATGCATGCCGGAGGGCATTGTATTAGGGAATGCTCAAGTGTGAAATGTGCACCGACGTCATTATATAGAGCAAGTTATTCAAATCATCGGTAAGGTTTCGTTTTCCTCTACAATGTAAAAGAAGCGTCAAGAAGCAGAATGATCACCCATTATCGAAGGTAATCTCTACTAAAAGGGTAATAAATATATATGTATATATATATAAAGCGGCCGTACACACTTCGTAGCATCACTTTTGCGCGCCTCGGAATGTCTAAACATCAAGAAGTAAAATAACACGCTTCAACACGCTTCGTCTTTTTGCTACGTTTGCGCAGCAAAGACAAACAAGATAAAAAAAAAAGAAGAAAAGGATTTAATCGACGTTCGAAAGCCATTCATAAGCGCGTTTAATAATTCTCTAGAGAATATTAAAGATAATTAGTCTCATTAAATATGGTGAATTTCTTGTCTACGGAAACGCTTGCGCTGCGAGCGTAATATCGTACCTTGAGCGAGAAGGGTCTCTGTGGTTTTTCTTGAGGGGGTTGTTGGGGTACAGAGGACGTCTCGGAAACGCTCGTCGGGGTCTCCCCGGAAGATCCGGAGGTTACAGGAGTGGGGGGACCGATCTCGGCCGGACTGTCCCCCCCGGACGTTGACGAAGAGGGAGATTTAACCTTACCCTGCAACCAGCCCAACCAGCGTGCCTTGTTAAGTACTCAGAGTCCGCCACCAAATCACCAAACACCATAGTCGAGTGTCTTCCCACGGCCAAAGTTCAAATTACAATCAAGCGCAAAGCCCATTCAAAGAGTGGCTCGCAAGCCATGTTTAATTGAACAACGACTTAAACTAACAAATACACAATATTCACTCGCTACCTTGCTATTGATTCTTGAACAGAATTGCAAGAATGTAAAAGAATCAATTGCAATGTGCGTGAAAGTGAAATTAAAGTAAAATATACGTATCTTTCGAGATATTAGTATATCTTATGCAATTATCGTAACACTAAGCTACAAAAGAGTGATGATTACGCGATTACTATATTATTTATAAATATATAATATATATACTATTACAATATGCTACTATGACTAGTGCATTACACGTGGAATCTTTCTTTTAAAACTTAGAACCCATTTTTCACATTTTATAAATGAAAACTTTCGTTTTTCGTAAAAAATTGAAAAAGAAAAAGTAGAAATATATATTGTTCGTTTATGAAATAGCATGCAGTGCTCTGGTCAAGATGAACCTAACTACTCCTCTCCAACATTAATTGCATTCATGACTCTACCAATATGTTGGAACTAATACATATACCAGAATAAAATAAAAATAAAGGTAAAATTGCATACGTGTATGAAGAGTGTATTTTTTTTGCATACGTGATACAAAGTGACATGATTAATTGCTAGTTCCAAGATACTGATACTATTCTTAATAAAGAAACATTTGTCAATCGCTAAGTTAAAACTGCATTCTTCAAACCGACAATTTCTGCTCAAACAGAAAGTGTGACTCAAATAGATATGTTTAGTCCTGTAATGCAGAAATTTAGTGCATCAGCATGCGCTTACCACCAAGTATAGCTGAAATGTCAGAAAGAGAATTGTGTTAGGGCAACATGGCTGGCAACCAAAATTATTTACGACGCAAATAAAGAAGAGATCATATCTTACATTATGTACAACCAAAGCGATCGGACGGAAACCAATCTAGCTCGAATATGCCAAGATAACAATGATGGAAAAATGAGTTACAAATGAAATTCAGTAATCATCTGAGAGTTCCTACATTTTACATCTACTTTACAGATGAGACTACAGCTTCAAACCGAATGTTTTTACATTTGTACAAGCGATATCAAACGATTCGTAGCATATGTCTGCCATAGCTAATAATATATAAGATAAAGAACGGAAATGGAAGGCGGAAGAAAAAGAAACTTTGTACTTTTTTATCAAAGATATAGGAGAGTTATACATCGCTCTCTCTTTCTATACTAAACACCCGTGCCTAGATTCGGAAAGTAGCTGTCACGCAGCATGGCAGATCTTAATGTTGTGTTTCGATAACGCTTAATGAGCCACGACTTGCGCCGAATTGGACGCATCGATTTCGCTCGATATGCGTCATGTTATCAAAGAAACAAATCATTGAAGCTCTGACCATGACGATGATATGTGTATACGATAAATAGTAGAGCTGATGATCGAATCGACAACGATAATGACGCTTAAATAAGTCAGTGTGTATTACACAAGTCCATCGGAATTACGTTCAGAGTGATCCCATGTTTTACCTTCGTGACCGCTTGTAAGAACGCAGCCTTGCCCACTTTCTGCCGTTGCTTCGACATCACCACCTCCATCCGCCGCTTTTCGTTCTCTATGTGCCGTCGCTTCTCCTCCAGCTTGAGTCGTATGTTATTCAGCTGCGAGGCCATTACGGTATTACCGCCGTTTTCATCTAACATCACAGAAAGTATTTCTAAAAATTTAGTAAAAGCAGCGAGCTTCGATATTAGTAATATACATTAACTTATAATCGATCCTTGATATCCTCTATTAAATTCCAAAAAGCTCATACTTGAAAAATTCCATGTATGTCGTAACATTTAATACATTCCAAACGAGACTGAACCTACCGACAGAATGTTGCTCCATCTGTTGCGACTGCTGGCTGCTTTGTTGCTGCCACGTGGTCGTGTTGGGCAGCGTGGCGAACGTCGTTTTCTTTTCGCCGTTGCCATTGCCGTTGCTCTGGCCGTGTTTCTTCATCGTGAGACTCGACTTGGCGACCGCGTCCTCCCGCTCCTGCTCCGTGTACGTGAAATTGATCCCCTTCTCCGAGCTTTGCCTGCTCAGATTCGCGAAACTGGCCATTTTTGCCATCGCCTCGCCACCACCTTCTGCAGCGTCGTTCTCGCTGGAATGTAAGATCTGCCTGAGAGCGACGTTATCTAGACTGGAGTTGGACGCCTGCCGTCGTAATCTCGACGGCTCCTCGCCCGTCCCGTAACCGTTGTCCGAGAGTATATGCTGCACGCCACTGCCGTACACGTCCTGGACGCTGGATCGCGCAGGTAACGTCGGCTCGGTGGTGCTTCGCTTGCCAATGTGCGCCCCTACTTCTTTATCCGGATTTCTACCAAAATTGTGTAAATTATCCTGGATAAAAGAAATCACTCGATCATACCGCTTGTCTTTCCTCTTTCTTACTGGACGCTATCCTCTCTCGCTCGTCTCTCTTGCTCGTGCAATAACGAGCGAAACGAGCAAGGCGCACCACTTACCTGAGACCCGCCGAAGTTCTCAATGGTCAGCTGAGAATCATCCGTGATGCTGTTCCGCCTGGATCGGCGGCCTGCGTACGAGCTCCGCCTTTGTTCCTCCCAATTGCTCGGCCGACCAGCGGCTTCAGCTCTAGTTACGGACTTCTCATCGGCCACGGAGCTCAGAGTCGGAATGCCTTTGCCACGATGCACCACGAAGCTTTCCTCGCTACCTGCGCGCCTGTAACGCAGATTCAAGTGAGTCTCGATTGACAACAATTTGTTCGCATTTCCATGTATAAGTTATAACGTACCTGTCGTCGTACGGATGACTCTCGGCAGTTTGTTGTAAGGATTGCGACTTCTTCACGGTAGCGCTCGGAGCCGACTTCGCAACTAGAAGAAATAATTTCACGATGAACAGAGCTTGCGCTTACTCCACATTCTTGCTTGATTTGATCAAGTTCATTCGTCACTCAAACTATATTCAACGAGAAATTGTAAAAGGATGCTCAAACAGACAATAAATTCTTATACTTTTATGTTACATTAAACGAAGCTTATGTAACGAATCGCTCGAGAGCACAACGTGAAATTCCCATGGACTACTTTGTACTGTCAGCAAAGTAGATGCATCATGAAACAAGAACAAGCCGATAAATCGATACAGCGCAAAGGGATTTCAATTTGTGCGAGTTCCGGGGGAACGAGACGATTACAAACGGAAAAAGCTCGCTTCGAGAAAAAACATCGTACAAAAGTACACCACACTGAGTCAGGCTAACTGTGACAAATCTAACGTGTCTAAGCACTTTAAATTCTCGTCATCGAGTGTCAGACGTATCTGAAAATGAATATAACGCGAAAATGAAACAATTCGACATGTGACAACCCATAAACCGAACGTACCACACCATCAAAATGATACGGATGAATACACGTTGCAAAACAATCGTACTAACTAAATATGGAATGGACCTTAACGTCTAGGTTCTTATCTTTCTTTCTAATTCTTTCTCTTTCTCTCTCTCCCTCTCTCTTTCTCTCTCCTTTCTCTCTTTTGTTGCACCGTGAGTTACCTGGGCGACACAATGATCCAAATTACATGCAAAAGTAACGCAACGTGAAGCCAATGTTCAATGCAAGCAGCAATCAATGACCGTGTCGCACAAAAAACGCGACTCACATGCAGGTCCGTTCTCAGGGAAGGAGGATATTCGCTCTATGCTCTCGCGATGATGATCGGATGAAATGCAAACAATATGTGATTAGTAACAAGCAGTGCTCCTCACAATTCACGCACTTCGCTAAGAGATTAGATTCCAACGTGATCATATTCATCGAATGCAACACGCACGGAAGTTAAACTTATATATCCGTCAAAAAAGAAAAGACCGTCTATTTTTCGTTTCTATATCGGACTTTATCGAGATACACGTTGGCTCGAAAATACCGTACAATTTAAAACAAACTATAAAAATATTGTGACTATAAGTTCGTCATTTACATACTTGTTTAATTGATAGTGGTTGTTTTAATTATACTAATCCTAAAACATTGATAACTAAAGTACCGTAGTTGTTATGCAGACACAATATTAAAGTCAGAAAATTTAATTAAGCACTACGTATGAAATAATTAGTCGGATATCACGCAAATATTAAAAGCGATTTAATCGCGGTCTACATTGTGTACTCTATTCCATTATCCTCAACTAGGTTGCGTCGCATGTTTAAATGTGGGTGACCTAGCACGACACCTACACATACGACGAAAATTATACGCGAAAAAGAGACAAAGAGTGGACCTTGATCCCTTCGAGACATTCTAAAAAGATACAGGAAAAAAGAAAAAGACGGCAGACCGCGAAACGCGAGACTCGCGGAAGGACGTATCACCTAGTAGTAGAGTTCATGAGCTTGCTTTGTGTGACGTAACGTGTGGGTACCTGTGAAGCCTGGCGCGGATACGGAGAGGTTGCTTCTCAGATCAGGTATCGGAGCTATAGACTGTGGCAGACTTCTCTTATGAGCTACGCCATGACTATTGCGCGGGCAGGCTGCACCCGTCGCCGCGCCGGTATCGGTTCATGGGCAACCGGAAGTTGGCGAAAGAAGAAGGCGAGGATAGCGTTGTTGTCAAGCGTCAAGAAGGTTACGCCATAGAAATATATGGAAATATTACAGTTGTAGATTAAGTGCTGCGTGTGGAGGTGGTATAGTTCGTTGGCTGATACATCATATCACTTCGCACTGTTTGACAGCGGCGCAACAATAGCCAATTCGTATTATCATCATCATCATCATCATCAAACAGAGACAATGTAATTAGTCGCTGCACGGAAGGGGATTCGGGTCGAGAGGCTTGGATCGAGTGTGTGTATCGACACTGATAAAAAGCGTGACACCATCGTGATCGCAGGCAACGTTTCCCTCGACTCTGATTGTGTTTCTAACCACAACTCGTGACGTTTTAACAAGGTTATTTGATTAATTTCGCTGGGGGAAATAAGTAAGCGACGATTCGACGTTCGCATTGCCTGCGACAGCAATGGAGAGAGAATTTCATGGAAGAAAGTATAAGAAAATAAATCATACAACGGGTATAAGTCCAATACAATATATGGCAGCCTCCACCAATCACACTTAACCACCACCAAATTTCACGATTTTTTCTCTCTCTCTCTCTCTCTCTCTCTCTCTTTCTCATTCTCTCGCTCTCAGCAAAATGTAGCTCGAATGCCACATATTGTTGCACAGGATCCGCGCACAGATCGATAAACTCTCATTCCCGACCGAAAAACGTCTACGTACCATCTAAGTATTGCATCGCTCGCTCTTCACCGGGATAACGCACGCATTTCGCCGGGTGGATCTCCAGGACGTTGTACATGTCCGCCAAGAAAACAACCAAGTTCTGCTTCATGGACCTGAATCACACAGAATTGATTTAGTCGGGATTTAACAGATTTAACGACAGCACAACTTGATTAGTAACTAGGAGAGACTCCTGATTTTAATTAGAGTTAACTCACCCTCTCATGTATGTAACGTCCTCGGGCTGCATGTGGAATATCGAATAGGGCAGACATTTGACGCAGAACGCGTGCACCAGCGAGAGATTGTGCAGCGCGTCTGCCACCGAGGGTCTCTTCGACACCCTGATCTCCATCCAATTGAGCTCGCCGGGACAGTAGAAGGCGACAACGGCAGCCAGACCGACGCCGTCGCAGAGAGACTGGAAGTCCTTGGCGGCGGGTAGCTCGGGCAGTCGCGTCTTGTCGCCGGCGCCCTCCTCAATCTGAATCTTCGCGATCAGCGCGTGCGACGCGTGATTGATCCAAAGCAAGAGTCCTTTCTCGTGGTCCGACGGTACGTCCACCACGGCTTGGGGATCGAACCGTCGTATCGCCGAGACCACTCGATCGCCCGTCACCACCTCCTTCGCGTATAAGACCATCAGGCCTTCTATCACAGCCATATGCGCGGACTGTGGAAAAAACATATAATAAGTCAAAGAGAAATAGCAAGAGAAATATAATAAGAAATATATTGGATTGATACAAAAGGTTTGTCGTGTTTGTCGTATAAAATAGAAAACGGAATTACTTAATTTCGAAGAATTAACAATTGTTACAAATAAAATGAACAATATCGATTCAAAATTGTTTTAATTACTTAACTATCTCCATTTTCTTTTTAATAGCTAAATCTCCTACAAGAATTTAGAAAAGAATGACAAATCTTTTGCATCAACCTCTAATAATATAATAAGAAATACTTTCAATACAATAAGTTTTGTTAATAATAATATAATAAAGAATACTTTCGATACAATAAGTGTTGATTATGCGTCAGCTGTATATATCGATACTTTGCAAAATAATATTTCCAAAAATCCAGAAACTTTTCCGACAACGCGTATTGACAGAATATATTACGCGATCGTGAGTTACGTCGTTTAAGGATATTCATATGAAAATGAAACACGAGACTACATGCTGCTCCTGTGCCAACACGAAAACTTACCATCTTGAGTGGTGAATTCTGAATGAGGATCGTTTCGGTGAGCTGAGTATTGTTCTGCTCCGCGACGTAGACGCCTTTCCTGGCCAGAGCTTGCAGGATCCCGCAATGATTCTGATTGTGATAGTTCGGATCCGAGTATATGTTGGCCAACGCGAGGCAATACAGCTCCGCATTGGAAAGCGCATGGACAATTTGCGGCTTCAGATGTTCCTGCTCCTGCAAACGTCAAAAGATTCGTCGTTAGAACGGAGACGGCGGACGATTACACGATTCGGGCAAAAAAGATAAAAAGAAAGAAATAATTGTTCTCACGCTTGAATAACTTTACGCAATTAACGAAATGATTTTCCTTTCTGCAGAGCCGAACGAAGTGAGAGCGCCACAGATGATCGCGCTCGGGAGCGACCTTGCTTTCACAACCATGTTTGCTCGTTTTTTCGACGCTTCATGGTTGGTCATATCGAAGAAGGCGAGTAACTTCATTTCAACCAGTGTCCGAGGTGGCGATGCGACGTCGACAAGATCGGAAGAGGGCACGAATCACCAAACGGAAACCGTCGCTGAATATTACCACACACATTGTGTGTGACACTTCCTGTAAGGCTTCTCTATTCGCCACGAGGAAAAGATCAAGAGTTCACGCGTAATAAATATGGGAAACGTTATTTCTCCGCGCGAAATAACCGTACTTGGCATCGTGCGTCTTTTCCTCGACCACACATTTAAAATTTGTCAATGTACACGCTCAAGTAAATTAAAATGTGCCTTTGTTTCCCACGCAAAGAAAAGTCCGAGGAAAAGCCGCTTCTGCGGATCATCGGTGGATTATACTACTCAAAACAATATAATCTTAGCAGATATATATGACCTCCAAAAAAAGAGGGAATTCCTCTAAAACCAAAAAGAAAATATTCTAACATTTAAGAAAAGAACTCTGGCTGCAAGGGATTATTTTCTGTAATTTTATATTCTGAGCGAAAATTTTTGTTAAAAGAATATTTTAACGAAGTAAATTGGAAATCTACTAGAAATTATTATAATTTTTCCCCTTTTGAATCAAGAAGAATATGTTGAAGCAGAAAGTCCTCTTATTAGAAGAAATTTCTATTAAGAACAAAGCCTGTATTGTAGATAAAAGACGAAAATGCCCTAACTTTAAAAATATTGTACTTGGAATATTTTCCTCTTGGCTTTAAAATTCTCTTCAGGCAACATGTAGGAGGGCTCCGCTAAAGGTGAGCTTATATTTTCATAGATGAATTTATCGATACAAACGCTGAAGTTAATCGAAATGTACTTTTGTTTCTCACACGAAAAAAAATCCGAGAAGAAGCCTCGGTTTCTGCGGGTCATCGGTGGGTGAAATCATGAGAAACGATTTGAGCGCGAGTCGAACAAGCGAGAGACCTCGTCTAATCTCGTGGACAAGTTGATAGGCACGTGCTCAAAAGCGAGGCCGCTGAAACGGCACATTGTGCGAGCAGAACCGGCGACGAAGAAACCGCTACAGATGAGAAGTAAGGGGAACTATCGATTCCGCAGTGATGCCCCCGGTCTTGTTCTCGCCGCGGCGGGCACAATGCGCGAGCTTCAATAACGCTCAGGAAATCAAGACTATTGTGCCACGGCGCGGAAATGTTCGGCGAAACTTGGCGCCCGGGAACAATCATTGCCGGAACAATTAAAAAATATGACTCCGGCCTTCTTCGCCCTCTGTTTCTCTTTTCTTCGCTCTCGCCCAAGCTCTTATCGGGGCCTGGGATCCATTAATTTTCCATGCCAAAACAGCTCCGTAATTAGAGCCCCCTTAAAATCGACGCGAACTTCGCGAAATGCCACCTTTCTCGACGAAGATCGTGTCGCTTCCGAAATGTGCAACGCACGGTTCCGGGGAACATTCTCCTCGTAGTTTTGCGCGAAGGATTACGATGCGGGCGAAATATCGACAGTGGGATCTCTAAAAGTTCTTTTTTTTTTGCAGAGTTACCGGGCGAACGACAGAAAGAGAATATGCGAAGTAGAGATAATTAAAAGATAGTGTAAGCGACGGGATTGCCAGTACAGTGATGGTCTAATAAATATAATTACGCGTAGGTCGGTGCACGGAAAAAAAGAGGAAGGAGAGAGAAACGACGCGAAGCAAAAGCACACGGTGTCGATGATCGTTAGTCATCTCGTTATGTGCGTATGTATATGTATGTGTATGAAGGAAAACATACTATCTCGAGTACAAGCGCGCTATTTATAAATCTCCCAATCGTTCGTGAAAGGTTTTCTAAGTCTTTTAATATTAATGATCCGTAAATTGGGGCCGTGTAAATTCGCGTTACACAAGTGCTTGCCTCGTCTTTATTTCATGAGCTTTATTTTATTTAAAGTTCCTCATCTTGCGTGCGCGTAGTGGCTACTCGAGGGAAATCGTATCACGAGTAGGGCTCTTTTGAGGGAGTTTTGTTCCACGTGAATCGCGTGTTCTCAAAGAGCGAAAATATTTTTCTAACTTTGCCTCGCAAACACGCGCGAGGAGGGAATGCAAACTTCTCCTCCGGGCGTTTTGCGCATCACCATCACTTCGTGAGAGTTTTCGCGAGAACGTGAATCCTCTTTTGTAAATATACAGAGACACAGAAGTGCATAAAGGTATCGCGTAAAGCGAAAGAAGAAAAAAGATAAATCTATTTATTTCTATGTCGAATACTCCCCTCGTTTCGCTTCCCTCAACGGAATACTCGAACGCTGCGTCGTGTCTGTCAAAGCTACATATTTTTATGTAAAAACATGGCCAGTATTTTTATGTAATTCCCAAGTGTCGGCGTGGCAAAGGAAGGCACTTTTCCTGAGTCATTTCGACACTTATCCACAGGAATATTCGAAGAGCTTCCTCACTTCGTGTCGACCCACATTTCCAAGAACGCGCGGAACTCTATATCCAAGAGAAAACCCACATACGACGCGAACTGATCTCGCGATTCACTGACGACCCGCGGCGGAGAATCGCACACGGTGGCCGGTCAATAATACGATTACTTTAATTGGATCAGCAGCGACGCGGCGGCAGTGACGAAATTACGTGATGTAACGCGAGAAATGAAGAGAGCGCAATTTCATTCGCATCAAATATTTACACGCGTTGTGCAGATTCACGTAATGTACGGAAGAAAAAAAGAATTTGGTTGAATATTAACCAAATGTCTGGTGAAATATGAACGAACTGGAATTCCGGATGAAGTTACCAGAATTTTGCTCAAATTAACAAAATTTTGATTAACTAAAAATCTTGTTTGATTAACCAGAATCTCGTTAATTTGAGCAGAAGTCTGGTAACGTCAGCCGAAATTCTGGTTGAGCCAACCAAATGTTTTCCATATACAATAAAACAGCGAAGCGACACAAAAAATGAAGAGCAATTAGCAAACATTGGTTGATCCCATTTTTAACTAAATTATAATCCGATGTCTAAAAAAAACTTTTATTTCGATAACAGATTCCTTCTTTCGAGTATGATCGCATTTTCTTGTAAGCCGCCCGGCGACAGCGCGAAGTCATAGTAACAGCGATTCGTAACGCGACTTTCGTTTCTTCTCATCGAAGTTCGGCGCGATATTGTGTATTCCCTCGCCAAGTATTATTAGCATCTATTCGTTCGCGTAGATGCGTCGACGTAACTTCGCAGCACACCGCCTTTCACAACCGGCGAACCCGTTTTCTCCGTCGCGGCATAACGACGGAGTACACCACGGAGGAGAGTATCTCGGGACAACATCCGAGCCGGCGGAAACTTGGACTTCCCGCGAGGAAAAATTCATTCATCTCATGATAAGGAAAGAGAGGGAGAGAGCTACGCAAGCGTTGTGCCGTCGCAATAATTCAACGAGAGTGAAAAGGTGTATGGTAATACGTCTTGGGAAGATCTATCTTCTCGAGGGATTCATAAGAGGCTCATAAGAAATTCAGAAAAATTACACAGTAGCAAATGAAAGGGCATTAAGAGACTGCTCGGGAGAAAATGTAAATGTTTGTATACGTGGAAAGTACGAATAAATATTTCAGTATGAATTCTCGATCGCGCACGTTGCGCTGAGACGAGAACACGTCCTCCAATACGTGCATGTCGGGCAAAGAAAAGCTCGTTGGTTAATGAAGAAGGTCTTTGTCGTGCTTTCGGTGGTCTTAGGAACTAGAAACCGAAACGGGATCGTTAAAGCTCACCTCATGATCACGGTAATACGGCTCGCGGAGCTTTTCCGGCACTCGATTGTTGTACGCCTTCGACAGCAGCCATTTCACGGAGGCACGTTGTTTGGCCTGTAACATAAAGAGAAATAAAAAATTATACACTGAGAAGAAGGCTTGGAAATTTATTTGTTGAACACGATGTTTATTCACGGGAATAAATTTTATAGTCCACAGAGAGCTATCGAGCTCTCATAAGTTTTTAGATCCATTTTGTGGCCCCATTTTATGGCTGAAATCTTAAATTATATTTTAATAAAATTGTAGCTATTCATGAGTAAATTATAGATATATAAGTATCAAAGTTTGAGAGAAAATTGTTTAAAAAAATACGTATTCTGTCGAATTAAATCGTATCGTTAGGACTCTTATAGCAAATAGTTGTAATTTTATTAAAAAATAATTTCAGATTTCGAATACCGCAAAATGGAGTTAACCGCACTTTTTTTTAATTTTTTTTCAATTTATGCGCAAAAGCATCGAGCATTCGCTCCGGTTTTAATTGGTTCTACAGAGAAGAAATTCCTAAATGACCGTAATTTTCCACTAATCGTTCCACCGCGGACGAATTGCGGCAAGAAATCGCAATTATCGCGTAAAAGTACGAAAAATCGAAATTACACGTTCCTATCGTTCGTGTTTGTAAGTACGAACGCACTCGCGGAATGCATTAAATCGCTACATTACTCCGCTCAGGTATGTGAAAAAAAGTTCGCCTTACATATCGCTTGTGAAATCTAAGAGTTTTTATCTCGCCGTTTCCAGATTTCACACTGATTCCGCCGCCGATTTCGCCCGGCCCGAGACGTAATTATCTCGCGTGTTTTACTTCCCTTAATGTACGGTTCGCTGAGAAGGAAAGCCAAAAATGACATTAACGTACTCGAGCTCGCTCGCAGCGGACTTTGAAACTTTCACGCGGAAGCGACGTTGAACTTCAAAATTCAAACGCGGCGAGCGTCCTTCCTATTTATCGCGGCACGATGACAGACACGCGCTTTTAATTCATCAAGTATTAGAAAGCTTGGAAAGCTTTAAAGCTGGAGAGCTTTAAAGCTGGAAAGACCTTAATAAGCTTAATCCTGAAGCCACCAAGTATTATGGATCCTGAAATTTTGATTCCCATCAAAACCCACGCGCGCACGTGTCCTTCGCTGCCGTCGTGAATCATCGAACAGACAATTTCCGCTCGTCGTCGGCAGAGATTTTCCCTGGGAGAAGACATTTGGCAAACACAAGCACCAGAAGCAAAGGTCCAAAGTCACACTGACAGGGTCGCGTCACGGGTCGTGACTTTCGACGTTGCTAAATCCTAAGCTCCTAAATTCCTCGCCAAAAGTTTTCCCGGGCCGCTTGGCACACGGAATTGCACGCCTAATCAATTTGTCGAGCGGCTCCGAACGAGAACGAAGAGGTGCAGGAGAAGCGAGAGAGGCCGCAGAGGAAGAAGCTGCTGGAGGGCTGGGGAGGATGGGAGTGGCCGTCGTATGAGGTCACGCTGCGCGGCTGTGTGTTATAAAGATTAAAGTGGCACGAGGAAGTTTCTGACGCTCCTGCAAAAACGCCGTAAAGTAGTAATCATTCATCGCGGCCAGATTGATAGTGTCGACGGCGGTGAGCGGCGCGAATTATTCGATATTTACCCTCGCATTTTCTCCGACGCTTATATTGCACACAGAAAAAACGCACAACATAACGCACACTGCATTCAAGTGTTAATGCTAAAATACTTGTTTCAAATATTTCACATGCATACATATTCGTAAATCTATCATCAGTTTCCATCACATTTATTCAAAATGCACTCTGAATTCTAGCACTCCAATCGATAATATTAAGTTAAAGCAAAGATTCAGTTTATATTTACCACATAAAGTCGAACTAATTTTTTCTCGGATAAAGTTTAATGATATTCTTGTAAAGAGAGTAAATTCTTCTTTCGAGTACATGAGCTTTCCTCAAAATTGTGATAAGTATTTTGGAACTATTGTCAAGAAAATACTCTTTGTTGAAAATGAATTCTTTACTTAAAAGAAAGAAAGTAAACAATCGTTTTTCTGAACAGCAGAATAATATTTTTCTGTGTGTACTCTTTCTTTTGCAATCGCTTCAATCAGCGATTTTATCCATTAACATACATATGTATATAAACGCGTTTTCCGTTAATTTTATGGATTGTCTAATTACGTCAGCGATGAAAATACTCGAACGATTGAGTAAATATTGGCCGGATAAACCAATAGAAATTCGGACGAAAATTTGGATAGATTGGAGTGCAGCTCGTAATTAAATAATTTCCACTCTTCTTCCAACCCACAATGTCTGATCTGCTTTAATAATAACAAAAAAGCGACACGCAGGACAAATTACTATACCGGCACATCAATTATCGATTGCTACTTCGGTAACGGTGTTATTCCAACACGCTATGTTATCTACAGTATACATGGGAGCGGTCCAAGATAAGTCCAGCAACGCGGCGTGTTTCCCGCGGGAAATGTTTGACTATCAATTTCCATCGTGCGAACCGGCTGCACACTTCTGACGTCAAGCGCGTCGAAGGGACGAAAGGATGCGCCGCGCCGACGAGTCCTTCAGCCGTGAAATTGAAATAAGGAAGAGATTGCCGGTGACACAGATCCGGAAGGTGGGACGCCGAGCAGGAGCGTCCCAGCTCGCGGAAAATCCGCGCAAACATCATTTCGCCGCGAAGCGACGCTTAAATTTCGTCAAAGTGAAAGACGGCTGCACACTCGCAAATGTAAAAATGTGCGACGCAGCCTACGCTGAGAGAAAAATAGTTAATCGGTAGGGGCACTGATAACATATATTATTTACTTATACTAATATAAAATATCTTTTAAATAAGAAAATATAGATTTCCTTCAAATATTTTACAAAAATAATCGGCTATGATTGGCCAATTCTTACGGCTTACTCCGCATACTGTAGACGAAGCCTTAACTTTTCATGAATAAGCAACTGTTTATTCTGCTTAGATATATAAAAGAATTTAGGTTTAGATAAATATGTTATCAGTACTCACCGAATGAATATTTTTTTATTTTTTACATATTTTTCCTCTCAGTGTAGCGACAATCCTGCCAGATTCGAAGAGAAATCAAGTGTAAAGGGAAGAAATGCGATTCCGATAACAATGTGCTAATTTACAAAAAAAAATAGTGTAAAACGGAGTTAGTCAACGGAAGCTTTCAGTTTTTCGTTACACAATCCCGTCGAGAAAGCCCAGCCGATCGATCGATTGATCTCGGTCGTTTGGAATAATGACCCGCGTGATGGTCGACTATGGATCAACGTCGCGAATAGATTATTCCGTTCTCCGGCCGTGGACAATCAGACAATGAATCGTAACAAGTAATTACGAGCTATTAAAGTGCCTCCAGCTTCCATCCAACATTATGAGCGCAAAGCGCGGAGGAAGAAGGACGAGAGTGGGACTAAGAAATCAGATCGAGAGTCGTGATCGACGATTCACCTGGCGAGATCGCCGCGCGCGCGCTCGGCAATATCTCTATCGCTCCGCGCTGCATCTTTACGATGAAACGACGAGGAAACGCGTGCAACTCGTTCGGATGTTGCGAGCAGTGCAGGTGTGTACGAGATGTCGCATAGCAGCGCTTTCTCCACCGAGGAATTCTCTTTAACTAATCTGAAATAAGCTTGAAAATTTCATCGCGTGCCACATTCCATCGTAACTTTTTAACTCGCGACATTATCTAGTTAATGAAGTACAAGTTGAAATCTTATAAAAATTCATGTCAAATTACACAAAGTTTGCTTTCCCATCTGCATTCTTAAAAGTTACATCGCGACATTGCCGACATCTGGACGTTTGTAAGATAAAAGTACACACAGAAAAATACCATTCTACTGCTGAGGAAAGCGATTACTTGGTTTACCCTCTTTTAACTAATGATTATCTCCAACAAGGAATATTTTCTTGATTAAAGCCCCCAAATGTTTATCACAAATTTTGATAAAGCTCATCGTCATATATTCGAAAGAAAAGGAAAAAATATATTCGTCATATATTCGAAAGAAAATATTAGTTTGACTCTATGTAGCAAGTAAAATGAATGTTTATTTTAATTTAATATTTTTGATTAAAATGCTAAATTTATTAGGATTCAGAATGTATTTTGAATAAATTACAAATAATTATAAATAAATATTTTATATAAATACGAATATTTAAACATAAAAATATATATATACATATATAATACTCGCCTGATATATAATAATAAAATATGTATATATATGTATGTGTGTGTGTATATGTATACACTGAAGGAAAAATTACCTTAAAATCAACAAATATTTCTTTGATAGGTGCCATTAACATATTTACTTAAATCTAAGTTCTCTTTATTTAAATAAAATATTGTTTACCTGATTTAAATAAATAGTATTTAGTTTAAATAAAGAGAATTTATATTTAAATAAATATGTTGATGGCACCCATCAAAGAAATATTTGTTGATTTTAAGGTAATTTTTCCCTCAGTGTATATGAATATGTATACATATATTCCATGTTATAAAAGTTTAAATATTCGTATTAAAGACTAAGACAATAAGAATATCCAAAATTAGATATGCCAAGAGTTACCTAGTACTTTTACCCCTTGTATCGGGGAAAAATCAACAATGCACTATTTCAAGTGTCTCTCAAGCCAAGAGTGCAGCCGCTTCGTACCATGTCGTGTATATTTCGCGGTATATAAACTAGCACACGTGTCCGGCAGGAACACCGAAGCAACGCACGCACGTACGCACGTGCGCGTGCATGACGTTTACGTTCGTCTATAAAAAGAAGCCGTGTCATCGCTAACAACTGGTTATGTTACACGATACGGAATGTATCCTTGTTACTGCCACACAGAAGGCGATACAGATTCGATCGATTCGACCTATCCGCGATAGGGAGAGGACGGTCTCGGCTCGGTGATCCACGACCGTCCGCCGCCGCCGCGCCGCGTCATCGATCTTTATTAGATCGCTCGAGATCCGTGCCCGACACCGGCCAGGACTCTGTGATTCAGATCCGTG